CGAAGAAGTCAAGGAACTTGTCCGTGAGATTTCTGCCAAAATTAAAAAGTTTCAAAAGGCCAACGAACCCACCACAGCAACTGGCTACACGGGAACATCTGCAGCTAGCCGAGCAAAGGCTGGGGGCAAATCAGCATCGGATGTCATGTCAATAAAACGAGGACGAGATGAGGACAGTGACACTCGCACCGTAAAAAAAATTGCTGTAGAAGCAGGAGCTGGATCGTTGAGCAAGAAGCTAGCCCAGCCAAAGGTTTCCCAGTCTGCTAGTAAGACTGTAACGGCAAAACAAACGACCTCTTCAGTGCTTCCTGGAAAATCTCGACCTGTTGCAAAGACCGTGGCTAAACCCGAGCCTGTCGGAGTGGATAGTCCTAACGCGTCTACTGATGAAAAGAGTAAACCTGACGTTGGAAAGCTGGCTGCCAAGTCTGAAAGCAAACCCGGCCCATCAAGGTCTGAAACCAAAGCACTTCCGCCGAAAACAGCATCGAGCTCTGCCGGCGCTTTATCCGGAATTGCATCCTTGCTAGATTCGATCAACGCCAAGAAGCCCGAGGTGGCGCCTGTCACTTCCAAAGACTCCAAGAGTCCAGACAATTCAGAAACGCCGGAACAAAGAGCTAAGCGTATACGCAAAGAAGGACGGAGGAAGCTTCGCGTGAGCTGGAAGCCTGAGGAAGAGCTTGTTCAAGTCAAGATCTTCCAGAAAGACGATGAGGAAGATGAAGGACGTGATGTGAACATGATTCGCGACGCCGGAGATGATCGATCAGAGGGTATGGTGTTGAAGCAACGTGCTGGTGTCGATGAGGATGATGAGGATGACGATATACCTTATCAACCATGGGTTGGCCCCACGGCCACTGACTTCTCCCAACTGCCATCTGACATCAGAAACAAGAACTACATCACACGTGGTGGCAACGTCATATTTGAAACGAACGAACAGAAGGAAATCACAGCGCGTGGGCAAAGAGAGCTCATGGCCATATACACGAATGTGGATGACATTCCTCCGAGTCCCAAATCACCTCCGGCGGAGTCGTCCAGCCCAGCCCACTCCAAAGCTGGGTATCTTCCGACTGAAGGTGCAAAGTTTGAGGAACTCCAACTTCGATGGCGAGACGAGCAGAACATGGGAGTGGACCAAGCCCTTGGCGCAGCGCTTCGGAGAATCGACGCCAAAAACAACCCGTCGAATAAGCTGGACGACATTCTCGGACGACTCAAGGGTGCACCGGATAAGTCAAGCCCCCATCAAGCAACTTCGCATCCTTGGGCCCTTCATGGTTCGTCTACAACGCAGCATAATTTTCCGTTTGCCGTGGGACCTAATAGCGAGGCACAAGTTCTTGCCTGCCTCCAGCAAGAGAAAATCGCCGCTTGGCGCGACCCGAACCCTGTCCAAGTTGATCCCGCTCGCTCTCATCAGTATGGTGACGCAAACTTGCAGATGATTGGCAATCATATCGAGTCAGTAGCTAGAAGCTTGGCTGGAAAACCGTATCCAGCCACCGCACCGCCTGAATGGCTGGCACATGATGAGGAGAGGGTTCGCGAATGGTGGCTGGGATACAATAAGGAATCTGCTGCTAGACAGAGAAAACTGGATGAAGATCGTGCTCGATCCGAGGCTGAGGCCAACGCCGCGAGGCTTGTCGCTGGTGCCACTGGCCAGACCCCCAGCCAGGACTGGAATATATACTACCAGCAGCAACAGCAACAACAGCAGCAGCAGCAGCAGCAGTCTTATGCACCATATTTAGCTCTCCTGCAACAAATGACGGGCGGCCATGTTGCTGGCCAAGCGCAAGGTAGCTCATCGCAAAGCCAACAAAGCTCGATTCCTGACAGCCAGCTCCAATCGATTTTGGCCGCCATCAACCAACCCCAACAGCAACAGCCAGCTCAGTCGTCCAGCGCCAACCCTCTGTCTAATCTCAATCCCAGCGACCCTTCATATCAACAACTGATGATGTTGACACAATTGGCACAGGGCCATCAGCAAAGTCAGCCACCTCCACCACCTCCGCCCCCTCCACCATCCAACGAGCGGGACTGGGATCGTGGTGAGAGAGACGCGAAAGATACTCGCAAGAAGAAGGCAACGTTGCCACCACATAAGCCTGCCAATAAGGCCCTAATCGGAACCAAGGCCTGCACATTTTGGCAGCAAGGCAAGTGTGCGCGTGGCGACAAGTGTACTTTTAGACATGACTGAGTTGAGACTTGTAAAGGAAGATGAAGAGAACAACCTAGCATGTGGCGTCTGGAGCATATTCTTATTTGTCTTTTTAACCCCTTGCGCCGTCATTTTTACAGCCGGTGAATCGGGCAGTACATGGAGAGCATGGCATCTCTTTACGGCAAATGTATGGTGGAAATGGACGGGTTGGGAATGTACACTATCACAATGCATTGCTCAAGGTTCTGAGCCGGAACAAGGTACTTTTTGTTGATTAATGATTGTAAACACCAATGCTTCCTCCTGATGTCCATTAGTCATTGCAAGAACAAACCGTGATATTGAATATGGCACCAAAACCCTTTGAGCAAATGCCTCCCTCCCCTGAAATAGATGCGCGCTTGAGCTCGTTTGCTCATTCATCCGTCTTCATCTCAGTATCGCCCCCGGTCCTCGCAACCAGCCCCCTCAGGCTCAAATCATACACTACGTCTTCCACCCTCTTTACATCATACTTGACGGCGTCTGCGCGCTTGCGCAAAATGTCATTTTTTAGATTAAGCAGCTGAAACCCGGCAAAGACATCCTTGATAAAGGCACTAATGGTCATGGGCAGCTGGAAATCGCCCAGGGTGACGGCATTGGTGGCCAAACGGGCTAGTTCGGGCGTGAGGTCGGTGAGGGAGAGAAGATACTCTTCTATAGTGAAGTGGAACGCATCGCGGTCCTTGAGATTTGTCGGCACTAATGAGTTCAGTCAGCACCGGCCACGGCCAAGGAAGCGGCAAGACTGGCAAAAGGCTTGATGGACTGGGCGGAGAGAGAAACGACGTACCTGAGAAGATGGAGCCGACGTCCTCGAGCGTGAGGAGGCGGCCGAGCTCGGGGGGTTGCGAGTCTGACGGGAAACCGCCTAGCCATGCGCAGTACAGCGTCGTCCCAATGGCGTTTTGCACGGTTCGTGCCCATTTGGAATTGTACCTGGATGGAATTAGTCTGATTGGGATTTTCTTTTTGGTGGGATGGCAGAAAGGTTGAAACTTGTGAAAACGAACTTGTAGTAGGGGTGCTTGGAGGCAACCTCGTTCAACTCCTTGACGATGGCGACTTCGTCCTTGACGGCATTTTCTACCTGCTCGACTAAGGCTGGGTCTGGGGTCACGTCAGCATACTTTCTAGGGCGTGTACGGTGCTTGGCTGGGGGGACGGTGCGTACAGCGGGCACGAGGAGTCGAGTGGACTCGAGAGAGGAGAGCCTGGGCGGAGGCGACGCTTCGTTCGAGTTTTTGCACGATTTGCGTGAGGGCGTCTCGGACCTCGGTTTCTTCTTCGATCTTGGATTCGAGATAGCTGAAGATGGATGGGTCGAGGAGGCTTGATTGGGTGGACATTGTGGCGGGTTTTGGGGGAGGTTTGGGGTGATGAGTTTGGGGTTCAGATGAGGTGAGGTTTGTGATAGGTTTTAAAATGGTCGTGAATGGTGATAGCTATTGTGGGGCAAATGGCAATGAGCACGGTTTGGAGGTGAAGAGTGAGACAATAGACCACGAACTTTAGCTTGGCACGAAGCCTTTCGGGAGCTGTGATGGTTCTGGTAATATACTCTTGTATTAAACCGAGTAGAGCGGTTGCGTCTCGATAAACTCTTGATCTGACAGAACTTCAGAGGTAAGCCACGCCCAGGGCCAGCTCTGGGTCCTTGGAGGACTTTCACAGCTCAAGCCCAGCTACAAACACCGTCGGCGATGCGTTTTCTGTATTTTCATTGGCACATTCCACCCTCCTGGTTCATCGATCTTCTTCGCGGCCGAGTCATGCTCAACTGCAATGAAAATGAATTCTCGAGCTTCGCATCACCTGGACGCAGTGTAATACCAGGGACACAGTGGACAAGAACCATGCGTAAACGCAGAGGCGCTCTCGTCCGGCAACCAAAAATGGGAATAATCACGATAAGCCCCGTTTCGAGGCGTTTCAGAGATTAAACTGAAAAGAACAGATACTACACTTGATCTAAGCCATATGGCAAAGAGAGCTGGAGAGAAAGGAAAGGAAAACAAGAAATGAACGGCGGGCGAGACGAGATTCTTATACTTGGGGTGGTGGGCGGTGAAGAGAAAAAGGCGGCAGAATGCAGCTGGCGGCGGCTGGCGCAGCTCTTAGGTTGCTCCGCGCGGCGCTGCCTAGTGCGGCTGTCAAGCTGTCAGCCGCTGGTGTTGCCTAGCGAGCTCAGAGCCGGGATGCACGATGCCTTTGTCCATTTGATGACAGCCTTTTGCGACTTCTGCTTCACCTCCACCGACGAATCTCGCTACTATTTATTTTAATTGAGGCAGCCGATATCCCAAGGTCTGAACAGGCTCAGCCATGAGACCAGGACCGTCTTTGCAATTCACGGCCCGATACATGAGCGATGGGAGAAGGGATTGAACATGCCGTGTTCAGACATACACAAAGGAATTGCGCCGAGGAGCAGTGTGGCAGCCTGCTTCCAGTGCATCTTTGTGTGTATCACGTCAACTGGTAATCTTGAAACTGCCATGAAGCATCCACGGGCCTGGCCTTGGATAGCACGGCCACATGCCGCCGCAACGTCAACCCAGCATTCGGTATCTTTTGTTCAACTTTGAGCCCCGAAATGCCTACCACCTCGCCACATGTTCAAATACTGTCCATTACATAGCTTCCCAGGTATATAAGCTCGACATTCTCCCTCGGTTCTCAGTCATGTCGTAGTCACTCCTGCAGCTACAACATCGTCAACCGCGTACAAGTTACACTTGCAACACTAGGCATCGTGTCCATCGAGAAAATGTCTACCTTCACCCCGACGACATACACCGTCACAGACGTGTCGGCACTTCAGGAGATCCCCGATCGCAAAGAAACCAGCATTCCTGTCCAGCATCCTTTCTCCGTGTTAGACGATGTTGTCCGACCCACTCCCTTGGTTAATTTCCCCATTCATCGAGTTGAGAATTTTATCTTCCCCGGCAACGCTCCAGGCACAAAAGGCGGAATCAACTACGCTAGACTCAACGAGAAAATCACAAATCACGAAGACGGCTATGAGCCCATGTCTTCAGATGTCCGCCACTACACCCTCACCACGACGTTAGAGACCTCGGTGGGCATCCACGTCTACCCTGCCAACAAGCCCGCGACGCAGCTAGTCATCTTCAATCATGGAAACGTGCGACCATCTCGCTACTTGAACGAGATACTCGAGAAGCTGACGCACGACCGGACCCGCGTCGTCATCGCTGTAGACTTTGTCGGCTATGATAGCAGCTCTCGAGTTCCCAACAAGGCCGGCGCCCTCGAAATAGCCTCCATCATCAACGACACCGCGGCCTACCAATACGCTACGGATGAATACCCCAACGTAAAGGAAGTCATCTACTGTGGTAGATCGATGGGAAATATCGGGTGGACCCATTGCATTCATTTCCCCAAGGTGACCAAGGTCGTTGCGTTGGTGCCCTTTGCAGACCTGTCCGCTGTCGCGTGGAGCTTCGTATCCTCGAAGGTGCCTCACATCTACCCTTTCCAGTCGCTCGCGCAATACGGTGTAAGTGCCGTTCTGGGAGCGGTTTTCCCAAACGGCGCCCCGGTGGACGGCCAGCCGGATGTACAGACTCGAGGATTTTCGCTTGTGGAAACGATTGATGCTCTGGCTGGACCCATGGAGGGTAAATCGGTGCTCTTGATGAAGGCCTCGGACGATGAGCTGGTCCCCGACGGAGAGGCCGAGCGCTTGGCCGCCAAGCTGGAGGAGAAGGGTATCAAGACCAAGGTCATGGACTTAACGGGCTCGCACCATGCTTTGCCTTGGGATGAGAAGAACGAGGACTCGGCCCCTAAAGCAATGGAGGAATTTTTTGCCAATGGACTTTGAGAAGAGGGGAGCGTGCGGTCCTATGCCCCTGGGGCTGCAATTACCGACATGCCGAGCTTTATTAGCTAGAGTGTCATTTGTTTTGCTTTTTCTTTGCCTTTTACATTCATTTGGTTACAGTTTTGAATACCTTCCTTCAACAAAATGGCCCACGTTCTTTCGTGATATGAGGTGAAAATATCCTTTGTTTATCCTGTCTTTGCCACGATTTTGTAGTTTAGATAGGGACCGTGAAGCACTGTTCAGGATCATCAAGGCAGAATTCGGTTGTCTGATGAGGCTTGTTCACAAATCACTACTTGGAAGGATGATGTGTTTGGCCGATGATCAGAGCACGCAACAACACCTGTCTTTTGAGAAGCCGAAACAATGGCACTTTGCAAAACATGGCAGCAAAGACCTGTCAGTGCGTGCTTGTCGTATACTTGGCGAATCACAAGACGGCTTGCCGAAGGACTTTGGGGGGTGAGACCGGGCCAACCCGTGGCTGTCTGTGCAGCGCTCTTGGTCAACTGGATCCGCGGTTGCCCACGACGGGGTAATAAAACAGTCAATGGGAGGCTGGCTATGAAAATAATGACGCTGGCCCAAGCTGTCGGCTGGTCATACGGTTACGAGCTGTGGTTGGACGGAATAGTCCGAGTGTCCGTCGGTGAGGGATCGGTGAGGTGAGGGTGGCGTATGCGGAGGACGAAACAACGATACACATGAGCTTTTGGTCTGTAAGCTGGTCCCAATACGTGTTCCGGGCATGATTGGTGTCGTCAAACTTTGGGTGAGCCTCATCGATTAGAGCGCTGATACTTGCATTTCAGGACTCGGGTATGCGCACTATTGGCAGAACTATCCACCCGCCGCTACCAAGGCAGAGAGTCTAGTGCCTGAAATCGAAAGAATCTGGTCGACTTGTCACTACTAGTGCTTGAAGTCGAGAATTGATCGGCAGCGCACCGGCCGTGTCTCGCGCCGTGCTAGATGATAATCCGCTCACGGGCCAGCTATACCGACGGAATCATCACCTCCACCTTTCCATGACAGTCATGGGGTTTTCTTTCATCCTCGGTACTCTTTAACCACTGTACCTGAGCGATCTACATACTTACAAGCTCGACAAAGGGGCCACGCAGTTTTCTCGCTGACAAATATGCCAACCAAACTCCACGACTGGGCTTCTTGGCTGGGAAAGCCTTGACCCAACGACAACCAAGCCGTCATCCCCGCCTGGCAGAAAAACAATTATCTTATTGACGAACGGCATCTCCGCAAATATGACAGGTGCACGGCTGCGCTTGGATATCTCTGGTGGTACGCATTATAAATTCCAACGCCACTTGGACAAGGCAACACCAGGAGAGTGCAAAACGATGAGTCGGGAGAAGAACGCGGCAAGGTGGGAAAAGGAGAGGTTAAATATTTAATGAAACTTGACGCTCATGTCGGGCCATTTGATACTTCGTTTCCAGTCGCGGCGGGGCTGTTCCAATCTGAAGCCAGTCGTTTCTTACCCGCCACTGATTCATAGCATCGCGAAGGTTTAAGATTGTCTGGTATGTATGACGACTCCCAGTCACAGCTTCATCGTTTTGCACAAACTTCACTACTAACCTGGCCTGTCAAACTCGTCAGTTGAAATTACCATTCACTCCAACCCCTACCCGATCTTCAAACCCCCTTTCCAATTGTCCGTTGACGATTGTTCTGCATTAGATTAGGACCTTTTGTTGGTGAGGAACCTCTCGGCTGAACTAGCTTGTGCGACCTGCTTAGTATTGTTGTCTGAACTGACATTCATCTTGCAGAACCTAGCCGAGTGTTTGGATTGATCTGCTGAAGGGAATAGGGCATCTCGAAGTCATCCATCTGCACTACGGCCACCACGGTCACGAACGGGGAAAGGGAATCGAGTACTATCACGAGTGTTGAAGCGACCTGTGGCCCGACTGAAACCACCGTCTTCATCTTGCTCCACGCAATTAACTAACGAGGACGGCAATATAAGCCATAATGTCTATTCTCAGCCTTCTTTGCGTCCTGGGTAGCATCTTCTTGGTCGTCAGTGCAGACTTGGTCGTCGTGGAACACTTGGACCAGCCGCCTGATGGATGGACCAAGCTGGGAGCTGCCAACGCCAGTCAACTCATCCGGCTCTCCATCGCGTTAGAGTCTCAGGGCCACGACGTGTTTGAGAGAACGCTGCAAGAAGTCTCAGATCCCACGCACCCACGGTATGGGCAGTATCTGTCTCGTGACGAAGCAGTTGCTTTAGTACGGCCCCGGCCGCGCTCCGTTGCCGTTGTGCGCGAGTGGCTGTTGTCGGAAAACGTCACGCAAGGTCAGGTTCAGGAGCGCGGGCTCTTTGTGGACGCCGTCATGACCATTGGCACTGCTGAGAATCTCCTGTCTACCACGTACGGCTTGTTCCAACACGGCAAGCAAAGGGCCATCGGGGCCCTGGCATACTCTGTGCCGGCAGAAGTGCGGCCGCACATCACATCTATCCAGCCTACGACATTCTTTGAGTCTGGAAACTTGTTCAAGAAATCTCCACGGATGTCGGGAGTAGGGATCGCGACGGCTCGCAGACGCAACCCAGGCGTACGAGCAAGGTCGACGGGGCTGCAAGACTGCGAGAATTACAACACGCCCGAATGTCTTCGCGGGCTGTATAAGATGAGCAATGACTACACAAAGCCACACAGGTCATCACTGTTGGGAGTGGCTGGATTCCATGGAGTGAGTAGAATTGTTTCTCTGCATTCGAAAGCACATAAGCTCACACTGTTCGCAGCAAGCAGCGCAGTATGACGAGCTGGAGAAGTACTTGGACACATATGCCCCGTACGCCAAGGGGGCCAACTTTTCCGTCGAGCTCATCAACAACGGTACCAATCCCCAGGGCGAGTATCCCGGGTTCGAGGCCAACATGGACATTCAAATCGCCGTTTCAATGGCGTTCAGGGTGCCGGTCCGGTTCTACTCCACGGGGGGAGAGGGCCACGAATTCATCCCCGACCTGGAGTAGGTTGCTGCTTGTTAGTCGATGGTATCGAACCGAGAACTGACTCGAGCCTGGCAGCGTTTACGACCCCGAGAAGCAACACCTCGAGCCGTGGCTACAGTTTGCCAGCTACTTGCTGGACCTGCCCGACCGCGACTTGCCACAAGTCATGTCCATCTCATACGGCGGCAACGAACAGGCGGTCCCCAAGCCGTACGCGCGCAGAATCTGCCAAATGTTCGGACTCCTCACGCTCCGCGGCGTGTCCATCATCCTGGCGTCGGGGGACCAGGGACCAGGCGTGTCCTGCCAGTCCAACGACGGCACCAACTCGACCAAGTTTCTGCCAGCGTTCCCGTCAGGATGCCCCTACCTGACGGTGGTTGGTGCGACGGAGCGAAACGCCCCTGAGAGAGCGATAAACTTTTCGTCCGGGGGGTTCTCGGAGTACTGGCCCAGACCAGCGTGGCAGGAGGCAGCGGTGTCGCGGTATCTCGACGCGCACGGAGACAAGTGGAAGGGGTATTACAACCGGGCTGGCCGTGGCTTTCCGGATGTATCTGCTCAGGGGATCGGATACCCCTTTTTCAACCACGGCGGAAACGCGAGCGGGGGAGGCACCAGGTAAGAGCCTCGACTTTTGCTCCTTCTGAAACATTGTAGAGGACTGACAAGACTCGAGTGCGTCGGCGCCATTGTTCGCCTCCATGATTGCCGTCATCAATGATAGTCGTATGAAGAGGGGCAAGCCGCCGCTGGGATTTCTGAATCCCTGGCTGTATCTAGGTGCCAGCCGCGCATTCACAGAGTGAGTGACAAGCCAGCTTCCCGTCTTGGGATGGCACCGGATGAGAAACTAACGCGGGAGGCTATAGTATTACCCACGGCAGATCGGATGGCTGCAAGGGCACAAGCTTCAGCGGCGCAAAGGCACCAGTCATTCCTGGAGCAGGGTGGGATGCGGTAGAGGGATGGGATCCGGTTACCGGGCTGGGTACGCCATTGTTTGACGAGCTGCAAGAGTTGGCGATGGGATAGGCACGGGCAGAAGTGTATCAAGATAGGAAACGTATGAGATGTGAAGGCGTGCAGATCGTCTTTGCTGTCCATGATAGAAAACGAATGGACCGTGTAATCGAGCAGATGAGCTGCGTCTGGCCCTTGATTTTTTTTTATGACTGCATGGCAAGATCTTTTTTATTTATTATTTTATTAAGTACTGTCTTGGGACCGGACCCTTCTGGTTCTATGCCTTTGCCTCACGTCTACAAACTTTAGACAATGGCTATTGAAAGTTACACCAGACGGAGTTTACTTGTTTTCACTTCTTTGTTGTAGCTTCTGTAAGTTGGATATAACAGATCTATGTTGATACTGTCACGGGTTAGATGATTTACGTTAAAATAAAGAAAAAGAAATACCTTCAGGTGTTGTACCAGATTCACGGGTCACCGGGTTCCATGCTCAGATCCGCATCTCTCTCGTGTTATGAAGCATATCAAGTCCTGTGCGAGTACATCACATTATCAAACCAGAGCCACGTATATTTAATACACTTGACCAAACCAGAACCTGTAGATCCAGTTACGTGGGAACCCTCTATACCATGGTGTCGTCCGAGGTTAGGTCTAGAGTGAATGTGGCCGCGGTAGATATGCCAGATATGCCCAAGATGTTCACGAGGCTTTAGCCGGGCCACGTAAACTCCGGCTCCGTGTCTTTGTGCCAGTATGCTATCCCTGTTGTCATAAGATGGCTCGTCAGATGGCTAACTACGCAGACCAACATGCGGCCAGCCAACTGCCACAGCAAGTAGTATTGGATTGACCGTTGATCAGTGTCACAAACGATTCAGCCATGGCGACCTTTGCAGAACCTTACCAATATCCAGCTAATAAGAGTGTCCTTTGAGTTCTTGGCTGATGACACCAACCAACAAGCCTCCAGCGTCGTTCTCCAAAGTCAACCTGCTGTACGGAGCATTGACAGACAAATATCTCGTGTTGAAACCCAGAAACACCACAGTGTTGCTCATTCTTTCAACTATATTTAACTAACCATGATGCGGCAAGCAGTAGCGAAGAAGGCAAGCCACGGAGGTCATGTCACTCTTCGAACCACACTTGAGAGCCGTGTTAGCTGCTGTTGCTTCTCAGTGTGACAAGGGTTCAACATAGAAGGCTTGGAGCAAAAGGGCTCAATTCAATAATAATCGCGAAGGGTCTCTAAGGTCTTGAGTTGCTACGAGAGAGGAAGGGAAGGGTGACCGCCTTATATACATAAAAGGAACGCCCAAACCTAGGGTCCTTGCCCAGGCACGTGTTCTAACCGTGTAACCAACAAGTCCTGTATCGGCGAAGCCCCTTTGTTGGGCTTCACGATCTGTTGGGCCTTTTCCGTGTAACACGCAGTACTTTACAGCTAGGTCGTCGGAGCTATTCTCCGAAATCCTAAGCTGGGCCCTGTTGCAGTTTTTATATCACAAGCTTCAAGGGACCGAGTTTATCCAAGGCCAATGATGCTAATTTACCGCTTGGGGATAGTGGAAAGATCTGGGAGCATGTTCTGGATCGTGGCACTCGGCCTGGCCGTGGGAATTTGGAGGGTTAGGGTTAGGGTTATGTTGAAATTAGTCCGCCTTATGTCTCTCACTTTGATTGGACCAGGGCGCCCCTCATGCCCTGAGCCGCTCCTGCCCACAGTAAGGCTTTCGCCGCGTCCGGTCATCGGTGTGCCCCGCCAAAACTTCCGCACGACTCACGGGCACGAAATCGAAACCTTTGCGGTCCTTTTCCTCACACCCATCGCGACAATCCGACACCCGTCAATTGGCGTCGCTCCCTACTGTTTCAACTACAGTCATGGAGTCGTTCGTCATCAAGACCCCTTGCTCGAGCGCCAACATCGGGCCCGGCTTCGATGTCATCGGTCTTGCCCTCACCGTCTACCTCGAGCTCCATGTCACCATTGACCGATCCAAGACGTCGACCGAGGAGCCGCTCAATTGCAGAATAACCTACGAGGGCCAGGGCGAGGGCACCGAGGACATCAGTCTCGACCCGCAGAGCAACCTGATCACCCGTGTCGCGCTGTACGTGCTGAGATGCCATGACCAGCGCGCGTTCCCGGTTGAGACGCATGTGCACATTAAGAACCCCATCCCCTTGGGCCGGGGGTTAGGAAGCTCGGGAGCTGCTGTAGTTGCTGGTGTGATGTTGGGAAAGGAGGCGGGTGGGCTGAAGAATCTGGATCTGGACCGACTTTTCGACTATTGTTTAATGATTGGTATGTGTGCCGGTGTGGTTTTGATACCTCCAACGTTGCCTGGCGTGACATTCGAGTCTGACAAAATGCTGCAGAAAGACATCCAGACAATGTGGGCGCCGCCTTGTTTGGCGGCTTCGTCGGTACCTACCTGATGCCATTGAACCCCGAAGACGCTGCGAGAATAGAAATTCCTCTTTCCGAAGTCCTTCCTTCGCCAGCTGGCGGCGTTGATACGGGAAAGAAGCCTCCCTCGCCGCCAGTCGGCATCGGCCACCACATCAAGTTCCCCTGGGCCAAGGAGATCAAGGCGGTCGCCATCATTCCCGACTTTATCGTGCCCACGGCATCGGCGAGAGCTGTTCTTCCGGAAAAGTATCCACGCCAGGATGTGGTGCGTATAACCTGCCCGCGAACCAGTTACTCGGATTCGTCATTAGTACCCTGTTTCTAACTGCCAACTTTGTGCCGTGCCAGACATTCAACCTCCAACGAATTGCCCTTCTCCCCGTCGCCCTGGGCCAGTCGCCGCCGGATCCCGAACTCATCCATCTCGCCATGCAGGACAAGATCCACCAGCCCTACCGCCAGACCCTTATCCCGGGTCTCACAGAAGTCGTCGAATCAATGTCTCCCAAGACCCAGCCTGGCTTTCTGGGCGTGTGCCTCTCTGGTGCGGGTCCTACGATTCTGGCGCTCGCAACAAGCAACTTTGAGGAGATTGCAAATAAGATCATCGCCACGCTGAGGCAATACAACGAGAAGAAGGATTTAGCCTGCGAATGGAAGATTTTGGAACCTGCCGAGGGTACGCATGTAGTTCGATAGACTGATAGAGAAAGAGACAAATAGACCAGGAACTGGCGGCCAAACTCGAAACAGCCGCGGAAAACCATTACGCAATTCCCAACTCATCCACCTCACCTCCTGCGGGCCAATTCGGGACGTCCTACTGTTTATCGTTTCATTGCAGCACGTAACACAGATCGCCGTGGGTTAACCCGAACCCCGAGCACCGTCATCGGCGGCGCCCCCCACGTGTTACCCGGAGCTCCAACCTCACCTTGTCCGACCCAAGTCGGGTATAAATCGCCCATCGTCCCATCAACTTCATCACCGACAGATCCCACCCATTGCTACACTTCATGACGTCCGCCATCATGTCCTCCCCACCCCCACCAGGAATCTACGTGCCCGTGCCAACCTTTTTTGCCTCCAAATCCAGCTCCGCCTACGACGCCGCCATCCCGCCCGCCGACATCGCCACCCAGTCTGCCCACGCAATCTACCTCGCGAAATCGGGCATCAAGGGTCTCGTCATATTCGGCAGCACGGGGGAATCCGTACACATTCACCCGCGAGACCGCCGAGCCGTGCTGCAGGGGGTGCGAGATGCCCTTGTCCACGAAGGGTTCAGGGACTACCCCATCATAGCGGGAACGGCCACGGCAAGCATCGAAGAGACCGTCGAGCAGCTCACCGATGCAAAGGAGGCCGGCGCCCAGTGGGGAATGGTGCTGGCGCCGGGATACAATGCCGCCGTCACGCCGCAGGAGGGCATCGTCGGGTGGTTTACTGCAGTGGCAGATCGGAGCCCTATCCCCATTCTCGTGTGAGTGTGCGCACCTTGTTTGATTGCCACGCCCAACTACACATGTCCTCGGCTGAACCGTTGGCCACAGGTACCACTTCCCCGGAGTGTCAAACATGGTCAAAGTCACACCGGCTACATTTGCCACTCTTGCCGCCCATCGCAACGTGGTTGGTTGCAAGCTCTCCCACGGGGACGTCTCTCTACTGACACAGATTGCGCTGAACCCGGCCATTGACGCGGCCCGCTTTCACGTCTTCACCGGCCTGGGACAGCAGCTCCTGCCCGTGGTGGGCGTCGGGTGCGTGGGCGCCATTGATGCCTCGGCGGGATTCTTCCCAAAGTCGCTTGTGAGGCTGCTTGAGTTGGCAGGCAAGACGCGGCCTACGGAAGCAGAAGCCAGGGAGAGGAGGGAGCTGCAGTACAAAGTAAGCTGCATGGAAGAAATTGTCGTCAAACACGGCATCGTGGGCATCAAGGAGGCAACGAGTCGGCTGCGAGGGTTTGGGGACGTGGATGGCTCTAGGTTGCCGCTGCACGGGACCATCCAGGGCGGCGAGAATGAGTGGAAGAACTGGGAGGGCGTTTTGGCTGCACTAGAGGAGGTTGAGAAGCGCCTGTGAGGCTACAATCTATTTTCAAAAAGACGACATGATACATGGATGGGCCGACGTCTGAAATACCAGAAACTATTTACTCGTACTGCGGGCCACCAACGTCTCGACTCGCCGGTGTCATTATCAGTGTCAGTGCAACGCCCGCACGTCTCCAACCTCTGCCTCCTCTTAAGCCCCGGCGTCGGGCGCAGTCGTATTGTCCAAGATCCCGAAGCGCACCCACTCGTCCACGTCTTCCTGCCTAATGATGTCGCGCAGCGTCGGCCCCAAGGTTTTGCCCCCCTTGCCAGGGCACACATCCACCCCGTTTGCGTACCCATAGCCGTCGTGGTCGCCGAGACAGAGAAGATCAAAGATCCCGCCGCTGCAAGATAGATTATGCACGCCCTCGCAAATCCTGGACGGGCGGCCCAGCCCCTCGGGGAACCAGAACTCGGGCGTGGTGTGCGCGTACCCGGCGCTGCGGTCGCCCGGCACCGCCGTCACCGGGTCGTGCCTGTTGGTGACGCGGACGGTCCTGCCGCCGCGCCCGTCAGACACGTACTCTGCAAACGCGGCGTTCCCGACCCGCGGCGAGCCGTAGGTGTAGATGTCGGTCCGGACGCCGCCCTTGCGCAGGTACGCGCCGGCGAGGGTCGCCACGCCGCCCCCGAGGGAGTGGCCCGTCGCGACGACGCTGTACCCCGGGTTCCGCGCCAGCTGCTCCTGCACGACGGCCATCATGCGGTCCTTGACGCCGGTGAAGGCGGCCCAGAAGCCCTGGTGCACGCGGCACCCGTCACACAGCGGCAGGAGCTTGTCCGCCTTGTCGGCGGCTTGTCTACCCGTTGGATTAGCATGCTAGTGACGGGGTATAATTCTCAGGACTGGGGGACAAGACGTACGAGGGCAGCAAGGCGCAGATGGCGTCGGTGAAGACGCCGAGGAACGTCCAGCGCAGCTTGGGATCCTTCAGGCAGGCCAGCACGTCGCTCATGACGTCGCGGACGTTCCAGATGTCGGTGCCGCGGAAGGACACCACGATGACGGGCCGGCTCTTGCTGACGGCGATGTAGCCCGATATGGAGTGCGCGTTGCCGAACTCCTCGACGGTGGTGGCGTCGGCCGTGGCGCCGCAGGCGTGGGCGCTCGGGTTGCTGCACACCGCGCTGTTGAGGGACAGGTCCTGCAGGTCGGGGCAGTACGCGGCCGTGGCGTAGCGCGAGTACGTGTTGATGAGGCCGAGGGTCGTGCCGTCGAGCTGCACGGGTGAGGCGGCCGAGGGTGCGAGTCTCATGGACAGGAGGGCGAGGGCGGCCCTTGCCAGGGGGAGCTCTGGGAGACGCATTCTGCAAGATACGATGGTGCTTGGAGCTACGACGAGCTACGGCAAGCTTTGGCAGGCTGGTTGCCTTTTTTATAGAGGATCATGACGGTTCAAGTTGGTTATATGCTTGGTGTTTGGCTCGCCAAGCTTGGGATCCCTGGCGAGGACCAACTTCGATAAGGCTGGCGTGTGGTACTGACTCGAACTTTGCGCTTGGCACGGCTGGCCACCGAGTCATCTGACAGTACGCATGGGTGTTTTGGTTGCTATATTTCGCGTATAGCAGCCCACGTGGGATGACCCGGCTGTGTGGTTGTAGATGATGGTGTGATGAGGGTGGGCGGCCGGGATGTTCATCTCATCTGTAGAGATCTGAGGGCGGTAGCGGCGACACACTATCTGTTGCATGAACCGTGGTCATGGGGGAATGTCACTCGCCGCCTTGTGGCGATTCAGATGAACATTGCTCTATTTTTCATTTTTTTTTTCTCCGGTTGCGTGGTTTGTTGAATTGGCCAATTGCGCGGGCGCATGTTGAAGGGAGAGCGTTGATGTCACGTATCATTCGACGGCTTTGCGAATGATTTTGGCAGCGCATTGACGGGCGGGATGGGGAAAACGGGGATGTGGAAATTGGAAATAGCCCGGGCACTAACGGAATTTCGCTTAGTTGCTCTCCGAAGGGAGAGGTGGTGCTGCTTGAGTCAAATGCATTTGCTGAAGAAGTGGTTGTTACTGGGTTTGGCGTTGTAGTTTTGGGTGCCGATTTGCCATGGGAATCCTGGAACGTATACGAATTGACTGACTTAGGTTCCTTTCATCAATTCGGCCCACTTGTCACGGGTTTGACTCTGGCACTCTTACAACGTGGTATAGGACTTTTTCGCACTACGCAAGCCGCCTCGGTGCCAAGCTGCGCTTTGTGAATTTCTTGCAAGGAGATGCGTGCTATATGTCGGCCGGTGGGATGACGATGACAAGTTGAGACTTGTAACTCTGTCTGCGCCTTATGGCAGCTCTGCGGGCTGTCATCCTGCCCCTCGTGTCGTGTTGTCTTTGTACTATCCACGCGATAGCATTAATTCACCTTGATAGGAGTCCAAGTCGACTCTCTGGTGCGAGATTTGGTGCATGCAGTCGTCTCCATCTGCCGATTTGTTCTGGATACGTAAACCATGTTTCGTCATAAAAGAACATGCTCCAATTGCTTCGCGATTATTCTGTCACACGGTCAAGACCGGGACAAAGGTATCAGACAACAAAGGTTACACAACAACAAAGAAAGGTATCACGGGGCCCGGAGTCGGACCTTGGCGAGGGCTGCCTCAGGCCTCTGGGCTCACCGACTCTTTGTATTTATAGAGACCTCTGACCCCTCAAGGCCTCTTTGAAAACCGAGGACCTTTAATACCATAATATCGATATTAAATTGATATATGAATTTTCACCTGTTCTAAGCCCAGCTACCCTGCACTTGTTCCATAAACCCCTTTATATTACAGTTTACAATATTCTATCGTAGCGGAAACAGACGCTGCTCAACGTAATCCAGTTTCAATACTCAAAGCGAGGCAGTCATACCAGGCCACACGATAGTCTCGCAAAAGCTGCGAGATCATTACATCGTCGGTTGCGGTTTTCGCCATTGTCTCTATTCTTCTTCCAAAGTCCGTCTGCCGGTGTGATATGGCAGCTACTTGCTGCTTCTCAGGCCGCACGAGGTCATCTACATTTGCCCTCTTCCCGGACGGCCCACGGAGCAGGCGTTTATGCCCGGAAACGAGCCCACAAAGAGGTTCACTGGTAAAGGCGGCCGGTACATGAACTCTGCCCACTCGGTGCAGTATGACCGTCAGATGCACAGCCCTCGACTCTCTTCAGCTCAAAATCTGTAATCGGACCGTGTCCGGCCCAAATGCCGACTTTGCCTGCGACCAACAGGGAATCACAGAATCAAGGAAAGGCGGAGTGAAGGGCAAGTTCCAGGACGTGTTCGGTCATTGAGACGGGCTGTTGCCAAACTCAGCCTCACCATTTGTCTCACCCCTTGCCATGAATAGATATTCAGTGCCATCGGCGTGCCGGGCGAAGCCTCAGCGTCAGGCATCAAGGCCAAGCTGGCTGCAAGTTCAGGACGTGTCTGGTGTACTCTGGCTTGTACGGTTTCACAGGCCGAGAGGCCATGGCGCGACCGTCTTGACAGGTCAGATTCGCCTCGATGCTGTGATCGATCCAGCTGCAGCGCATTGACTCCGGTCTTGGACATTCATTGGTGGGCGGCACAGCGAGCCTTTGTTAAAACGCGAGGTGGGTGGGAGTTCATCGGCCGGGGCCCGGATGTTCGCGGACAAAGGAACGGGTCGGCATTCTAAGCCTCACCCAGAACGCCATCTTCAGTACACACTCGATGAACAAAGATTGAAGTGAGCCAGATCAACGACAGGGCTGGCGAGAGGTGATGCTTCCTCGCTGTCATGTTCAGCAGTTGGTAGAGGGTTTACGTCTGCACGTCGAAGATAAAATGTCTCCTCTCGCCGCTCCCTCCTCACACTTCTTCTTTCTCCTTACCCATCTTTTGCTTTCCTCTATTTACTCCCGCGCTTCGTTTTCATCTGGGACCGACTCGATCTTTTCTTTTCCCCCAAATATCTCATCATCCCTGAGAGGCTCGCTTTCCGCATTTCGCTCTTGGCAACAGCTGCGTCTCGTTACGAAACTTCCACCATAACAGTGGGCGCAATGAAGATGATTGTGGAGATCTTGATGATTTTCCTGCACCCATTCCGTTTTCCCACATTTATTGCCATGCTCACCATGAACTCTGTTTTCCTGGGCATGATGAAAGCTCACAATATCCCTGTCAACAAGAACATTGTCATGACCGAAGTTTTCGCGGCCGTGGGTGCTGTGGTGGATATTTTAGGATTGCTCAAATCCTGCGTGGTATTGGGTTCGGACGAGTACCTGTCGAACCTGTCCCTCCTATGTGCGGGTATCGTCCCTCGCGCCGTGGAACTTTTTATCATGGGATGCTGCATCTTTATCGCGGTGGTATACAAGGCCGGTGCTGGAGACTGCGACAGCTACGCTGATACACCATTCGGCGATATCAAAGGCGAAGATGGATTGACAGGCGTTGGGACCTCGTGTCGAATGCAGGCGGCCACATTTGCCGTGGCAATCATTGCAGCGTAAGTCTACTGTGACCACTCGCGACTCTCTCAGGTACTGATGATATTCTCCTTAACAGATTCACATCTTTCTGTATTATCTTTGTCAAGGCTGTTTTGATGGTCATGAGACTTGGACAGACATGAGTTTGTGGGGTCCCTTCAACCTAGATGGCATTTTGTGCTACTTGGCAGTACATCTTCCTCGTACTTCCTCTTGTAGGAAAACGATGCTAGATTACTAGCCCGCTAGGTTGGCCAGTTTGCTGCCTATTCGGGGGAAGAATCTACGCCGAGGGCTTCTGTTTTGTGCTAGGCGGTTTGCGGCGATTTCCTTCACGTTTAGTTAGGTCTATCAACTACCTAATTCAAGCAACCCAAATTCTCTGTCCATTATCCCTGCGTGAAGAACATGTAATGAATGTGTTGAAAGCACTGGCCCGACCCGAACACAAGTCATCGATCCCTTGCAGCCCATGTCACCCAAAAAAAAGTCAAGTCCGGCTTTGCAGCAGGGAGGCTCGCTGTGTCACTGTCTGGTTCCGCACCATCATCTTCTCGGGTTAGGGTTGCCGATGAGACATCAAGGGCGTCGGCATGTCGTAGTGTTACGAAATGCAGACACGCATTAAAATTTTATTGAGTGCTGATGGCGAATGTGACGCCAACGACGCCGCCATAAACTATCCCGAGATGTCAGCTCTGGCCGCATCACGTCGTCAACCGTCACAGCCAATCGGGGCTCCGAGTCGACGTCGAAAAGTCCGTCCCAACAATTCGGGCGGCGCGGCCGGAAGGGTATCCACCGAGATCCGGCTCAGCTGCAATCCAGGGGGATCTGATTGCCGTGTTTGGACACTCAGACGTGGGCCCCGCTTGACTGACGCGGATCCGTGACGCCAACCTCGGCACGGGTGACGCCACGCTGACCCAACAAGTCGACAACTGCACAACTTTTGCACAACTGCGTGCCTGGACTAGTGGACCGGGCTTTTTCCCACTCCCTTGCGAATTCTACTCGGATGATTTTTTTTGAATCTTCAACATTCATTCTTTGCCTTCCTTCCCAGCTCTTGCTATCCTTACATCACCGCAGCCCTGCTCCCCCGCCCATTTCGGGAGGCTTGCCGTCTCTCTCCTTGGTCGACCCCCTCCCTGGATCTCATCCCTTGAACACCACAACCTCGCGTCGCAAAGATCACGACGTCGCGAACCCATGGCATCGGCTTCCAGCAAGGTCGGTGGCCTCGCCGTCGCCATCCGCGTCATCGTCCCCGTGGCGCTGGGGTCCGCCGGCTACGTCGCCTACAAGATCAACTGGTCCGCCGCCATCCAAAACTTCCTAACCGGGCCGGGGCGCAGCTCGCGCATCCTCCTGCTGCTGTTTGCCGTGCTCAACTGGAAGAACCTGCCATTTGCATGGACGGTATGACCTCCCCCACCTCCTCTCCCCGTCTGCCCCGTCAAGCCGGACCCATGTCTCTAACGTCGAGCGCCCAGTACCGCGTCTTCTACGCCATCGTCTACCACAACATGCTCCGCAAGTCGCCGGACCTCACGCCGCGGGCGCTCTTCAAGCCCATCATCTCGGAGACGCGGGCGCCGCTCCTCGAAATCGACTACAACCTGCACAAGTCCAACTCGACCTACTTCACGGACCTGGACGTGGCGCGGACTCACCTCGTCAGCTACCTCACGCGGCCGGCGATGCGCAGCCTCACGGACAACGCGCGGACGGGCCTGGTGCTGGACCCCAAGACGGGCCGGCCGGCGCGCGGGCCCATGGGCATCATGCTGGGCTCCGTGTCGTGCTCCTTCAAGAGGGAGATACGCGCCTACCGCGCGTACGAGCTGTGGAGCAGGCTGCTCGCCTGGGACCGGAAATGGCTGTACATTGTGACGCACTTTGTGCCCCGGGGCGCGGCCCGGCCGACCGAGTGGCTGGACCCGCGCTTCGGCCGCGCGCGCACCAGGAGCGGCGCCGACGCCTCCGCCGGCTGGGAGGCCGGCATCCACGCCTCCGCCGTGAGCAAGTACGTCTTCAAGCTGGGCCGCTTCACCGTCCACCCGGCCATTGTGCTGCGCGAGTCGGGCCTGCTGCCGGACCGCCCGGGCGGCTGGACCGGCGGCGACAACCAGCTCGGCGACGAGGCCGCCGACCTGGGCCACGTCGACCTCGCCGTCGACGGGGAGTGGGATTGGGCGCGCGTCGAGGCCGAGAGGCGCCGCGGCATCGAGCTGGCCGCCCACCTGGCCAAGCTGGATGAGTGCCATGGCTTGTTTGACGGCGGCACGCACGGCGCCCTGGCCAAGGTCGGGCCGTGCTAGGGGGGTGCGGCGTGAGGGCCGCGGGAAGCCAGCCGAGTTGTTTTGTTGATCTTCTTGTTCGTCTTTATAGAATAGACAGCCGGCCAGACTCGATATATACATAGACTAGACTAATGCGACAGCCGTTTCCCAAAAAGCGCCCCTCCAGCACCGGCAAACACAACCCGCCCCTTTGTAAAACAACGCCCACTCCGAGACGGAACCCGTTCTCATAATAGCACGGTCGCGGCTGCAGCAATCGCCACCAGGACCCAGCCAACCCCGTCCGTCTTTGCCGCTGACCCCGTGCCCGTCGTCACCTCGCCCTCGCCGCCTGGCTTGGTCTCATTCCCCCCCGGCAGCGTCTTGCACACGTCCAGCACAACCCGGCCGGTAGCTATAAGAAACAGCCTGGATCAGCACGATATCCAGACAACCTTTCCCCTTCCTGAGCAGAAGCAGCAACCCCAAGAGGGAGAGCCGGCTCTAAAGATAAAAAGAAACCCACCCGTAATGTTCTGCAAGTCGCACCCAGCCTGGACCAGGCACGGCGCCACCGTCCTGATAATGGGCTCGATCTTGTCGCACTGGCACTCGACGTCGGCCAGCGAGCAGTTGTGCCTCGTCACCCCGTCCGCCAGACACAGCAGCGAGCACCTGGGCAGCCGGTCCCGCAGCGAGGCCGGGTCCAGCGCCGCCGTCCGCGCGGCTAGGAGCCACATGGGCCCGAGGGGGAGGAGAGTCGGGTTCATTGCGCGGGCGCCGTGTTTGCCTTTATTTAATGAGAACTAGACTTGCTGCCGGACCGATCGCCTGATTGCGTGTCATACGTGTCAATAGCATTGGGCAAGAAGGGCTTCGTGGCGAACAGTAAACTGGTGCTATTGATATATACACGACTTGGCCGACCGCGACTTCGAATTGGCTGGTGGCGCATCCCCCGGCGCACCAGACCCCTGCCCGATCGGCCAGTTGACTCCATCAAGTGACATGGAATGCTTTCTTGTGGCGAGCTCTGGCAGACACTGATGCTTTGCAGAAGTGGCCCTCTGGCTGGGATGCGTCGTTGGCGGCTGGGGTCCTTCTGCAAGACAGAAAGAAGCCCGGCACATGAGGCGCAAGGGAACAAGTCGTCGCGGCATTGTCCCTAGCATAAGCTGCATGTGCATGGGATCGACTATCAGCCAAGCGGGGCGATGCGAGGCACCATGAAGAACAATCAATGCATCATGTGTGGTTGATTGTTGAATGTCGATCTGGTTCTTGTCTGCCGAGTACATACATACTCCGTACATGCATACATGCATACAATACTGTCTGTCCTATCCCTTTGAATGTGCGCAGGTCTAAGTATAGCAGACCAGGATCCTAGCTAATAAATTAATAAAAAATCCTAATAAAGATATATAAACTTGTTATAAAATTATATAATAAGTAAAGTACCTAATATTTTAAGATATATATAAATATAAGAATATACTAGCTATTTACCAGAGTTAAAAAGTACCTCTAAGTATTATAAAAAGAGTAGGTTGAGTACATTAGTTGGACCTGCGCACATTCAAAGGGATGCAAGGTCCAATTTTCTGATACACGCCTACCGCTAGCACTCCATGCAAGTCCAATGTTGACCTGGCATTGGGTACGTGGCACCAACTCGCCTGTCAACAAGGCTTGTAGCCAGTTGGCATTTGGCGTCTAGTTCAATAATTTCACCTCGACTGCCCTTGGTACGAAGCGCCTTTTGTGTACAATTCTACAATGGTTCAACAAGCCACACTTTACTTGGCTGCTCAAATCAAAAACTATATTCATGCTATGTGCTCATAATGTCAAAATACATTCCTACTTCCCTCAATTGATGGCCACCTGCAGATGCTGGGCCTCCCAGTTCAGGCTGTGCGCAATGGGCGTCTTGTCCACGGCGTCAGACAGCCTGGCGGAACGACGAGCACCCAGGACAGGAGCAACGCGGCTTCTGCGATTCGCCTTGGATCCGGCAATACCGCCGTGGGCGCACTTGGCGCCGTTAAAGGCAGCGTTGGCAGCAGACTTCCACACCTCGGTCACGTCGGAAATCATGGGCGCCGTCCAGTACAGGCGGCAGTCCGCCTCTTCGGCAATGTACTGCGCGGGAACGCCGTCGTTGACGTTGTCGCGGAGGATCTGGTCTCGCACATTGACGGCAGAGCCAGCGGATCGCTGCATCGGCAGCGTCGTGAAGCGCCGTAGTTCGGTCTTGGTCTCCTCGTCATTGCTTTGCTGAGAAAGGAAGTTGGCGAAGCTGAAAATGTTGAGGAATTGGAGGACCTGCGATCCCTTGATGCCGCCGACACCCTGGATGGGACCCTTCTTGGGGCGGCCACCCATGGCGACTGACTTGACGCCGCCCTGGAGGCGGAGCATTTCGGATGCCAGAGTGCACGTGGAGGAACAGGCGCCATCATAAAGAAGGATGATGTCTTCGGCCTTGAATGGCTGAGAGAGGTTGGCGCGTGTGCCATAGCCCGAGATTTCGACGCCGATGCCATATGTCGTGTTGGTAGTGGTCAGGGGGTCGCTCAGGTTCCATCGCATCAGGTTGGTGTAGTCGGTGTCCTTGTAGACATGAGGGTGGAACTTGTCCTCATAGGTGGCAAAGTTCTCGTTGGTGATGTTCATGTCATAGCGGTAGTTCCACCACGTCTGAGACAAGCTGACGAGATTCTCATCAGTTTCAGTGGCAGGGTTCACATTCTTGACCGCGTCGGAGACGAGACGAGCCATGGCGACGAAGCTCTTGCTCTCCTTCCAGCGAGAGTTGCCGTCCTGCACGACAGAGGGGAACAGCTGGCGGAAGAAATCATAGCCGAGAAGGATGTAGCCGCCGCCATTGTTCTGGAAGTCGACAACGAGCTTGGTCTTGCCGGCAGCCTTGGCCTCGCGCAGAAAGTCGCTGACAACAGCCTGAAACTCGGCAGGGACGCTGGGCTCGAACGACATCAGATATATCACGGCAACGTCGTCAAGACCAGGCCCGTTGAGGTAGTAGCCAGAGACAACACCGTCGGAGGAGGCGATGACGGGCTTGGGATAGCCAGGGATAGCCGCGCTGGGGAGCGCAGCGGAAGAAGCTGAATCGGACCGCAGGGGAACGGGCGTACAGAACTTGTTGTACATGGAAGGGCCGTCAACAACGGCATTCATGTCACCAACAATGGAGGCCTTGTTCTCAATCTCGACGGTTGTGCCATTGGCGTAGGTGAGCTTGGTGGTGTCACCGTGGTAAAACAGGGCGCTGCGGCCACCGGAAACGAAGTTGCCGACTCCACCGTTGGCGGCGGTGGACTTGGACCAGAACATGGTGTTGTAGGATGAGTCGACATCCTGCAGGAAGCTGGCAGCATTGACAGTATCCTCGACGTATTTGGCGGCATCAATACCGTTGATTTTGGTGATGGCCTGCGCCGTTTTGGGGTTGGCAATCACGTCGGCTGGAGGTCGTTTGTTAGCCCCTTTATTTACACGGGCAGCTGAGAGGCAGTTGGGGATGCCCACGACTCACTCTGAAGCTTGATGACAGGCAACGACTCGCCGTCCTCGCTAATAGAAACAATGGGAGGAACAGCACGCCTCCATCTGAAGGCTTTCGCCAACAGGTCGGGGTAGAAGACATAGTGACCGTCCTGGCCTGGGGCCCAGACCTGCTTGTAGAGGTCGGTCTGGAAATCGAACTCGCCTGCGTATTTGCCGGATTCCACATTGGACCGGACGCTGGCCAGGTTGCCAAAGATATCAAACCCAGGATAGAAGTAGGACTTGGGAGGGTCCTTCTTGTAACCCGCGTCACTCTGCCACTCGAGGTAGGGCTCGATGGCGTCGATCAGCTTGAGGGCCTCAGCCTTGCCCAGGGGAACGGTTTTGAGGCACTCGTGGGCCAATGATGCGGCCACAGTGGGGATAGCTACACAACGGGAAAGTCTGTTAGTAAGCTTCCGTGTCTAGTCTCAAGTTGAAACTTTGGCCATCTTTAGTCCATCCCACCGTCTGTGCGCCGCAATTTGCGAGCCCGTCACCAAGCGCACCATAATCAAACGTACCTGTCGCCGTCTTCCTCTGCTCGGCCCATGACGCGCTAACCTTGGCACAGGGATGTCCGGTGGCCGTTGAAGTTGGCGCCGTCGTGGGAGCCGCGGAGGTGGGAGCCGTGGGAATTGCTGTGGTCGAGGGCCCGGGTGCGATGCAAGAGCAGGCGCTGGAGATTCTCAGGGCCATGGGGCCATTGAGGTTGTCCTTGCAGCCATCCGCGGCATACGATGGAACTGCCGTCGGGGCGACGGTACCAGTCGCCTTGGTGTATGTGGCACAGAATGCCTTTGCGCTCTCGAGACGTCCGGGGATATGCGTCGCCCTCAGGGCACGCAGACAATTGTCGGCATTGCAGCCATCAGCAGCCGCCAACTCGGCCGCGCCGGCAAGAAGAGCCGCAGCAACAATGGTGTTGCCGCGCATTGTGGGCAAGGGATTGTCTTGGATGATCTCACTAGCCGAGCCTTGGAGAGCGCGATGTCTCGTCTCTAGGGGCCAAGCAGATCGAAGAAGCCAAGGAAGAATCAGGTAGTAGACGGGTTGACTATCTAGATCGACGACGAAGATGGGAGCAACGCCAATATTTATCTATCCCCCGGCCCCGAACAACGGCCTCGTCTCCTCGTCTCCTACCTATTGGGGATATCCATCCGCAAGGACCGCATGGACAGTTTTGTGAGGGATCTCCGCACAGAACCTGCACGAGGACCTTGGGCAGCATGTACCTTGGGAAGACATGGACAAAGTCTGTGTCACGCCAAAGGCCCGTTGCTTTGTTTCCATGCTCAGAAGAGCAGGTCCTTTTTGCACCTGGTCTCGTCAACGCCAGGCCATGGTGGAGGGGGACGGGCTGTGGCGGGTACCAAGGAGATAACAAGTCGACGCCATAAAAAAGGAAGTACATGCTGGCACGTTCCGTCTGGCAAACGCATGAAGCGAATTGGCTCAATCTT